TAGTAGTATTCAATTACCGGTACGTGAAAAGCATGATCGGATTATAAACAAAAGCTGTTGTTATTGGCAGCCATATTGGCGGCCGGATATTTTAATTGCTAGATTCAGTGATATTTGTTGGCACCTTTAGATACTGTGAGCGTCTGTTCTCTCGGGCGCCTGACTGGAAGAACTGCATCCTGATTTATCATGCCTGCATGCCAGATTGCATGGTCCTGGCTCCTCCGAATACGGAATAGATACTCCCTTGCTTCTTGTGGATGTTTACATACTGGTTTGCATTTCTGCGGTCGCTAATTTCTTTCCCCTAATTACCTTGCCGTGCCGTCTTTTATGAGAGAAATAAATCATTCAGGGGGTAATTACTATTCTCCTGTCTTGGTTGGCCTACTTCGGTTACTGATTCCTTGAATCCTTCATGCCTTGATGGATAGTCTAGTGTTCGTGATCTATCCCGCCAGATTTGGTATATGCTTGCTGTTGAAAGCCAAAAGATTGACTGTGCGCACACTCCTTTGCTAACTTAGACCCCGTTACCTTAACTGACGGCTGGCAGTTGGGGCGACATTCCTGAACTTCTATTCGGTGGCACTACTCTCGCAGTGACTTAACTTAATGCGGAAAACACTTGCCGCTGCAATCTTCAGCCCCGGTTCCGTGTGGGGGGGGGATAAGTGAGATGCCCGGTGGAAGGAATAATATATTCTGCACAGAAAAAGTGCAGAATCGGTTGCAAGATGTTGAAAGTCAGAAGAGTGCACGACCACCCGCAAGAGGACCGGTGTTCGAAGTGCATGAGCGCCAAAGTCGTCACAGTGAGGTTCTGTGTGAGTCAGCCGTAAAGGTGATTGGCCAGACTGGACTGTGGTCGACAGAAACTGGTGCGCGTGTGCTACCAGTTACGAGAGGCTGAGCGTTGTCACTACAAGTGTTCAAAGCGCTTCTGTGTTTCCGGTCGCAGGCCTTAATTGTGGCTAACTGCAGACCATATTAATCAGTCAAAACTAAAGCGACTCCCGTTTCAACCGTCCTTCTCGATTAACCTGTTTTAAGAGTTATTTCCGCTACGAATACGTGCTGGGCTCGTACCCCTTAGTCTTGCGCACATTGGCGCTTTACTTCACCTAACCACGACGTGAAGACCAAGGGCTATTCTGATCTCCAAGTGGCCGCAATGCACACCAAGGCTTTCTTTTCGATTTTTCATCATTTTCGGAGGCACTTTATTTCATAGCCTACCAAG